AAATCATAAGACTGATAGAACACGCTCCTTGTGGCATTAAGATACCAAACTCTAAGCAGGATCTAAGGCCATGCCATGCAGGGGTGAAGTCATGCACCCTACACTCAAATAATAAATTGTGTTCTAGCTGCCAAAAGGTTCTTCTTTTTCTCTAGGAGTGAAACAAACACTAGCCTTAAGATAAGCAATATTAAAATAATTACAACTCATAAGCTCACAGACAAGGACTAATGGGGCCCTTGTTCCACCAGCCGTAACTACAGCTTTGATTGGGCAGGAGACCGATTTCAGTAACTTTCTCCTGATAACACCACTGACCATGGGCTGGTTCTGGCTCATTGACAGAGGCTGTGCATTTGGATACCTTCGTGTCCTGAAAAGACCTTTTGATGTATAAAGTCTAAATGTGATACATTTAAATGTTAACTAAATGTTAAGTCTCCACCCCAAAGTGGACATGGGGTCATATGTCACATGCAACTTTGTTCAATATGCATGCATCAGGGTCACCTACATGAATATTCATAGCTCCTCCTACAACCTGTTGAATATGGATGTTTAGCCAACCTATTCAGCATAAAGCTCCTACTCCAACCCCTCCTCCTTAGAAGTGCCTGTCTCTGATCCTGACCAGACGCATCCTTCCCAGCCTGTGGGATGACCGCTTTGCAGGCTATAACCTTTTACAACAAATAAAGTCTCCTTTTCCAAATATGTATATTGTGATTTTTTAGGTCGGCATACCTGATCAGATCCATGAAGGCATCAGCTGTGGGGATGGTCTCGATCCGGCCCTCCCGGTGCAGCCCCTCCTTGGAGCCCTTCCCGGGATGGATGATGGTGACCATGAGGATGCCGATGAAGACCGCGATGATAGTGGTCACCATGTAGTACACAGCTGCTCGCATCCCCATCCGCCCCGTGGCCTTGTTGTCCAGGGATGCCATACCTGCAGGACAGATGATGTGGTCCCCCCGGAGCTCCATGCATACCCAACGCCAGCCCTCCTAGCCATCCGTTCCACCCTCCCCATATTACCAACTCATCAGCCATCCCACCAAGCATCCCTTTTCCTACAGCCCACCCCAGAACCCACCCATTACCCATTCACCAACACCACCATCTTTCTACTTCCATTCTATTTTCCAAATACACACCCTCACACTCACCCCAACCCTTACCCCAAGCAGCATTCCACTACCCTACTGCCTTCCCTCTACTCCAAGCCAGTCTTTTCCACTCTTTCACCCCATCCCCTATTAACTCTTGTTTCCTCTTGTTTTGCACCATAACCTAACTTTCTTTCTTTCTATTCTCTCTCTTTTTTTTTTTTTTCTGAGACGGACTCTCCTTCGCCGAGGCTGGAGTGCAATGGTGCCATCTCGGCTCACTGCAACCTCCATCTCCCAGGTTCAAGCAATTCTCCTGCCTCAGCCTTCCGAGTAGCTGGGATTACAGGTGCCTGCCACCACGCCCAGCTAATTTTTGTATTTTTAGTAGAGACGGGGTTTCACCATGTTGGTCAGGCTGGTCTCGAACTCCTGACCTCAAGCGATCCACCCGCCTCAGCCTTCCAAAGTGCTGGGATTACAGGCGTGAGCCACTGCGCCTGGCCCATAACCTAACTTTCATTCCACTTGTCATCCCACTATTCATCCCAAAGTCACACCTTCCTCCAACCCACCTCACTGCACACCCTTTGTAGTACATGTTCTTGGTGCTCCACTCCTACACCCTTTCCCAAGCCAATATGCTGATCCTTCAGCCCCAAGAGCACTGTCTACAAATAGCTCAGGCTGCCCCCTTCTCCTTCTCCTGAGAATTGCCCTCAACAAAACAGGAACTGCCTTGCCCACAAAAACCCCAGGGGAGACCTATAGCCAATGAATGACCATGCAAGGATTCACAATGGCCAACTCCTTTGATTCAGGTGGCAGCAGAGTTGGGGAGAGGTTCAACTCTGTGGTTCTGCTCACGCTCCAGAGCTCCCGATGGAATCAGGTTGACAGGCCAGCCTTCTTCTGAAACCCACATCTTTGCTTCACTGGTTTCCCAGTCCCGTCCCACTTCCCTCACTCCCTTATGAGTTTCTCTTGAGAGCTACCCCGCAATAAATCACCAGTGCAGACATCCCCATGTCAGTCAGGCTCTGCTTCCAGGAAACCCAACCTAAGAAACCATTTCTTCATGCTTTTTTCTTCTTCCCCATCCCCAAATCCGGGGATTGGCAAACTGCTACTCATGCCAAATCCGGCCCTCTGCCTGCTTTTGTAAATAAAGTTTTATTGGAACACCATCATGCCCATTTGTTCTCATATTGTCTACGGCTGCTTTTGTGCTACAGTGGCAGAATCGAGTACAATTGACCCTTGAACAGCATGGGTTTCAACTGTTCGAGTACACTTATGCATGGATTTTCTTCCGCCTCTGCCACCCCTGAGACAGCAAGAGAAGCCCTCCTCTTCCTCCTCCTCAGCCTACTCAGCATGAAGACAATGAGGATGAAGATCTTTATGATGATCCACCCACTCAATTAATAGTAAATAAAATTTCTCTTCCTTATCATTTTTTTAATAGACAGAGTCTCACCCTGTCGCCCAGGCTAGAGTGCAGTGGTACCATCATAGCTCACTGCAGCCTCCTGGGTTCAAGTGATCCTCCTGCCTCAGCCTCTCTAGGACTATGGGCATGTATCACCACGTCCTGCTGATTTTTTTATTTTTTGTAGAGCTGGAGTTTCACTGTGTTGCCCAGGCTGATATCAAACTCCTGGGCTCAAGCAATCCTCCTGCCTCAACCTCCCACAGCACTGGGATTACAGACATAAGCCACCTCACCTGGCCTGATTTTCTTAATAACATTCTATTCTCTAGCTTACTATATTTTAAGAATATAGTATATAACGGCTGGGCGCGGTGGCTCACGCCTGTAATCTCAGCACTTTGGGAGGCCCAGGTGGGCGGATCACGAGGTCAGGAGATCGAGACCATCCTGGCTAACACGGTGAAACCCCATCTCTACTAAAAACACAAAAAACTAGCCGGGCATGGTGGTGGGCACCTGTAGTCCCAGCTACTTGGGAGGCTGAGGCGGGGGAATTGCTTGAATCTGGGAGGCGGAGATTGCAGTGAGAGGGCCGAGATGGTGCCACTGCACTCTAGCCTGGTAACAGAGCGAGGTTCCGGGAAAAAAAAAAAAAGTTATATGCGGATTTTTGACTGTGTGGGGATTGGTGCCCCTAACACCCAAATTGTTCAAGGATCAACTCTAGTTGCAGAAGAGACCGCATGGCCCTTGAAGCTGAAAATGTTTACTATCCAGCCCTCTAGAGCAAAAGTTTGTGGACCCCTGCATAAGCCAACCATACTCCCATCCCACCCTCTACCCACTAAGCTGTCACCTCCATCTCATGCACCTTCCACACCCTAATCTACACGCTACTCCCTGCACATCCACACCATATCCCGGCCACTCTCCCTGGCTGCCCCTCCAAGACTTTCTCTCACTTCTGGGTAATACTGAGCCCCTTGCAAGCTGGCATTTTTACCTCCAAGGAAAAGGACAGGAAGCCTACTGAGTTAAGTGGGGTGGGGTCATATGGGGTCTGGAACCTGGGACCGATCAGAACCTGGGCTTTGCTTGGCCAAGGACCCTGGAGCAGACGCAGGCTCCGCGTTTGAGGTGCCGCGTCAAGGAAGTGGTCCCATGCTTGGGATGGCCTTGGCTCTGGGTTCAAGCTGAGGCTCCGGATGGGTCTTGGAGGCCAACACTGGCCTGGGCTCTCTCACCTGTGACCAGGCTGGAGACAATGAGAGGTAACACCAGCATCTGCAGCATCCTCATGAGAAGCTCTCCGGGAAAAGAGAAGTACTTGATCTGGCGGTAGGTGAGCTGATATGGGCGCAGGGCAAAGGCCAGGCTGACTCCTAAGGTCAAAAGAAGGGGGTCCATGGACTGAAGTCTGGGTTGCCCAGCCCTAGGCAGGGTCCATTCACCCCAAGAAGGCTAGGGCAAGGGTGGGAGTGAGGGAGAGAAATATCCTATGAGTGTGTGTATTCGTGTGTGCACTGATGCGTGCAGACATTGTAGGAATGTATGCATGTATGGGTTACTATATTGATACTGTGTAAATGTGTGTCCATGTCTGTGTAAATGTAAATGTGTAAGTGTATATATATCCAGGATATGTGACGGTAGACGTTCACTTGTAAACAAGCATAGGTGTCTGTATACAGGTGCATATACACATGAATATGCACACGTATTTTCCTGGACATCTATAGGTGTGATTTGTGTGTATGTTACTATTTTCAAACATGCGAATGTATGTGGTTTTTAAACTCATAAGTGTGTGCACGAGTACTCAGGAGAACGTATGTGGAGATGTGAATGTGTTTATAAGTTCCAATACACATGCACAAGTGTGCATGTAAGTTTCTGTGTTTGCACCTATAAGTTCAATGCATGCATATGTGTGTGTGCAAAGTGTGTTTGTACATTGTATATGTATATATATGTGTGTGTGTGTATACACAAGGATATGCATATGACATTGTGTGCACACAGTTGTGTTTGCACACATGCGTATTCATCTGTGTGGTGTGTCTTTATGTGGGGTTGAGGGTGGCTAGTGGGACTGGGAGGTGTGTGCAGGTGAGAATGAGGGGGTGGAGCAAAGAGATGTGTAGGGGCCAGGAATTTCCCTGAAGTCCCCGCCTTTCCCTGAAGTCCCCGCCCTCCAGGAGGCAGAGCTCACCGATGACCACGGCGCTGACCGTCAGCAGGATGAAGGCGTTTCGGCCCAGGAAGCGCAGCACGTGCTCGCGAGTCATGGTCTGCAGGCGCAGGCGGGTGCGCAGTGCTCGCTGCTGCAGGCTTTCCTGCAGCCGCTGCAGCCAGCCCACCCGGCCCAGCCGCTGGCCGCTCTCCCGCAGGAACAGGCTGTTGCCATGGCTGCTCATGGTCTATCTGTGGGAAACAGAGAAGCCTGGGGCTGGTGAGGGCCAGGACAGAAGGCAGGCGTGGGCAGACGGCGAAGGCTGGGAAGAGTGATGAGCGCTTCCTAAGGACTCTCAGAAGGCGGGGGTGGTTGAGTGTTTTGGCTCAGGCCTGTAATCGCAGCTGTCTGGGAGGCGGAGGCAGGAGAATCACTTGCACCCAGGAGTTCAAGACTGGCCTGGGCAACATAGTGAGACCCTGTTTCTAAAAATTTAAAAACAGCTGGGGGTGGTAGTCCTAGCTATTTGGGAGGCTGAGGCAGGAGGATCGCTTGAGCCCAAGAGTTCAAGGTTATAGTGAGCTATGATCTTCAAGATGGTGAGACCTCCACCCCTCCAGAAAAGCACAAAGGCCAGGCGCACTGGCCCACACCTGTAATCCCAACACTTTCTAAGGCCAAGGCAAGAGGATCGCTGGAGCCCAGAAGTTTGAGGCTGCAGTGAGCTGTGATTGCACCACTGCACTCCAGCCTGGGTGACAGAGCACAGCCCTGTCTCTAAGAGCAACAAATAAATAAAAATAAAATTAAAAAAAAAAAAAGGCAGGGGAGGGGGAAGGTCAGTCTGTTAAGATGTGCCCATCTGAGGACACCTGAGGCGCTGCCTGGAGTTCTAAGATCAGGTCTTGGCAGGAAAAGGTCAAGTCTCCAGAATCATTCCTGGGAATGGCTGGGAAGAGGAGGAAACCACAAAATAATGGACCCTTTTGACATTCCCTGACTCCAGCCCATTCTTTTTTCACTGAGATTATCACAAGCCTCTGGGGGCTGCCCCAGCGGCTCAAAGGAAATTAACAAGCTTTTGTGAAGTACCAGCTGCATATGGAGCCCTAGACAAAGCACCTGGAGGCTAGTCCTCTAAATTAACACGGTTTTGTGTCCAGCCTGGAGGCTTTTCACAAGGACAAAATCAGCAGGCGCCTGGCAAAGAGCAGGTGCCCAGTAAATGCAGCTACTCTGCCTGAATGCCCAGATGAGCAACAGGGAGAGCGGGGAGTCCTTTGGGAATGAAATGATAATGACTCTTGGCCACAGCGTGATGTGCATGAGCCCCTCTGGGGTGGCAGGCACTGTACTGCTGTTTCCCAAACTGCAGACTTTGGTGTCTCCTCCTTATATTTGGCGATATCCATGTGTCCTAATTCACTTATCTAAAAAACCGTACGGAACCAGGCACGGTGGCTCACGCCTATAATCCCAGCACTTTGGGAGGCCGAGGCGGAGAGATCACTTGAGCTCAGGAGTTTGAGACCAGCCAGGCTAACATGATGAAATCCCGCCTCTACTAAAAATACAAAAATTACCCGGGCATGGTGGCAGGTGCCTGTAGTCCCAGCTACTTAGGAGGCTGAGGCGAGAGAATCACTTGAACCCGGGAAGTGGAGGTTGCAGTGAACAGAGATTGCACCACAGCACTCCAGCCTGGACGACAGAGTGAGACTCTGTCTCAAAATAAAAATAAATAAATAATTATTTTAAGATTAAAATTAAAAATGTATGTAAAATGGAAACTTTAGACCCCTACTTGAAATGTGAATTATATTTTTCAACAACATTAAATACAATGCATATAAAAATTAAAACCTGCCCATCCGTCTACCAACTAAACACTTCACACGTACAGGGTGGCTTAGAAATTGTGATTTTCGTGGGCCTGAGGAACTTTTCTCTTTGTGCACCCTTTTCTTCATTAAAAAAAAAAGTCTACATTAAAATTCTGTTTTACAACTGCATTCATATAAAGAAAAATATATTATTTCAGAACGAGATAGAGGTGATAATTATTGCACAACATAATGAAAATACTAGATGCTATTGAATTGTACGTTTTCAAATGGTTGCTTCCGTGTTATGTGAATTTGCCCTCAATTTTAAAAATGGAGCCAGCTGCTGTGGCTCACGCCTTTAATCCCAGCTACTTGGGTGGCTGAGTGGGGAGGATCACCTGAGCCCAGGAGTTCAAGACCAGAGACAGAATGTCGCTCTGCCACCCAGGCAAGAGTGCAGCTCACTGCAGCCTCCAACTCCTGGGCTCAAGTGATCCTCCCACCTCAGCCTCCAAAAGTGCTGGGATTATAGGCACGAGACACCGCACCCACCCTAAAAAAAAAAAAAATTAAAATGAATATGTTAATATTATACATTATAGCATTTTCTTTCACCTAAATGCTTGTTTCTGTCTTCTAATGTTAAAAGAGATGAAAACATCAGGGAAATAGTAGAATTGTACTAGAGGCTGGGAAGGGCAGGCGGAAGGGGAGGATGGGGCGAGGTTGGTTAACTGATACAAAACTACAGCTAGAGAGAAAGAATGAGTTCTGGTGTTCTGCAGCACCCTAGGGGGACTATGGTTAATGATCATTTATTCTATATTTTCCAAAAAGCCAGTAGAGAAGGTTCTGAGCATTCGCACATTAAGAAATGATCAATGTTTGAGATGATGGACATGCTAACTACCCTGATTTGATCATTACACATTGTATACATGTATCAAAATATCACTCTGTATCCCACCAATATGTACAAGTATTTCGTATCAACTCAAAATAAAAGGGAACAAAAAGAAATGAAAATGGCCAGGGTGCCGTGTCTCGCATCTGTAATCCCAGCACTCTGGGAGGGCGAGGCGGGAGGATCACTTGAGGTCAGGAATTCGAGACCAGCCTGGCCAATATGGCGAAACCCCATCTCTACGAAAAATACAAAAATTAGCTGGATGTGTCACACGCCTGTAATCCCAGCTACTCCAGAGGCTGAGGCAGGAGAATCGCTTGAACCTGGGAGGCAGAGGTCGCAGTGAGCCAAGATTGCACCACCGCACTCCAGCCTGGGTGACAGAGCCAGACTTTGTCAAAAAAAAAAAAAAGAGAGAAGAGAAGAGAAGAGAAGAAGGAAGGAAGGAAGGAGAGGAGAGGAAAGGGAGGGAAGGGAGAAAAGAGAGGGAAGGGAGGGAAGGAAGGGAAGGAAAGAAATGAAGGGAAGGAAGGAAGGAGGGAAGGAAGGGAAGACGTTTCTGTAGGTCCCTAAAAGCACTGTGTGCTATAGGTACTACACCTCCTAACCTACACTGTTCTCATAACCAAGGAAGGGTGGTGCCCTTCCTCCAGGCATACTGAGAATTCTATTCTTCCTTCTAGACCCACTCTTAGGCTCCCTCTCCCACTGGCTCCCTTTCGATCTGCCCAGTGGAAAGGATAACAGTATGAAGGTTTCTCAACGAACTAAAAATAGAACTACTATCCCATCCAGAAACCTCCCTACGGAATACCCACCCCAAGGAAAACAAATCATTGTATCAAAAGGATATCTACACTGGTATGTTTCTTCACAGCAATATTTGCAATCGCTTAGATACGGAATCACCCTAAGTGTCCACCAATGGACGATTAAAGAAAATGTGATACAGATAAGTGTGTCACATTATAGATAAACAGACCTGTATCACATTTATATCGCTATCACATTTTCTTGCTACATTGTTGATTATGTTATCGTATCTATGTTTCATTATGTATATAATGGAATACTAATCAGCCATAAAAAAGAATGAAATGTTCTTTACAGCAACATACATAGAATTGGAGGCCATTCTCTTAAGCGAAATAATTCAGAAGCAAAGTGTAACACCGCATGTTTACTTATAAGTGGGAGCTAAATAATGTATACACAAGGACATAGAGTGAAATAACAGACACTGAAAACTCGAAAGAAAGGGTGGGAGGGTAAGAGGGGGATGGGATGTGAAAAATTACTTAATAGGTGCAACACACACAATTAGAGTGATGTTTACACTAAAAGCCCAAACATCATCACCATGCAATCTATGCATGTATCAAAACTACCCTTGTACCCTCTAAATGTATACACCATTCTTTCTTTCTTTTTTTTTTTTTTTTTTTTTTTTTTTGAGGCTGGAGCGCAATGGCACCATCTCAGCTCACAGCAACCTCCACCTCCCAGGTTCAAGTGACTGTCCTGCCTCAGCCTCCCAAATAGCTGGGATTACAGCCACCCGCCACCCCACCTGGCTAATTTTTGTATCTTTTGAAAAGATGGGGTTTCACCGCGTTGGCCAGGCTGGACTCAAACTCCTGACCTCAGGTGATCCGCCCACCTCCGCCTCCCAAAGTGCAGGAATTACAGGCGTGAGCCACCACGCCCAGCCACAAAATTCTTTTAAAGGCAGCAGGAGAATGGAGGGTGGGAAGAGATTGAAATGGAGCATTTATTCTCCTGTCTCCCAGCTCCCTGTGCCAGGCCCCTACTTGGCAGCAGCTGTGTTCCTCTACCTAAGACCACTGCTCCCATGAGACAGTCCTCCGCCATAACCCTGGATCTCCCTGGGTCCTCCTCTCTGCTAGTATCTTCATAAATAGTCTGATGATAAACCCTTTTTACTTCTCCCTTCAGAGTCTGCTGTCTGTTTCCCCAGCAATACACCAGATTCATCTGACTCAGAAAAAAAAACTCTGTAAATTAAAGGAAGACACTAAATATTGTATCCTGTACTGGACTCTGTACCTATTTGGTTTGCCTGGGATTGTCACACCTATAAAGAGAATGTGTTCACCTCCCGCATCTACTTCCTTTTTTTTTTTTTTTTTTTT